TAACGAGGAATGCTATAAATTATAAAGCTGAGGAAGTTGTTTGCGAAAATAAATAATACGATGTCCAAAATTCCACGCGGAAATAGTCGCGGGCACAGCTAGTCTTTAATACTAATTTTCATGTTTGTGGTTGTTTTTGAACATGTTAGCATTATATATTTTTTTAATCTATTTCACTATCACTCGGTAGTTCAATCGGTTAGAGTAGCACAGAAAGCTGTCGATGCCGGTTCAAGTCACACTCGTGTCGAATTTTCATATGACCAATACTAGAAAAACATGACATTTCGCATCTGCATTCAAGGTGACTTAAACTAGACTAACAGTAGAATAATCATAAGTGGAAGGCTCCCCCTTAAGGCCGCACGTACGGACCACACACGTCGGTACAGAAATACCCTTCCGTTCCTACTCCGGGCCGTAATTAGTTTATTATTTCAGACTTTATTTATCCCTTACGTAATTATTTACCGGAATCTTATTTATTGCGCGTTTCTTAAATAAATAATAATAAAATATAGCTGCCGTTACGCTTTCTATTTGGAACTGGCTGTATACGATGGTAATTAAAAATAAAAGTTAAATTCTTTATTTTATCTTTCGGATATTAGAACCAAATAGATAGTGAAGAAAATAAAATTCAGCTGTTTTAATTATTTCCCTGGCTTCGTGTAAAAAGGCCGTGGGTTCGATATCCACCGGATCCAATATGATCATCTATTTACAATTTTATACATTTTCTGAAAAATGTTGGACGTCTAGAAATCTGGATCTAGGAGCATCGAAAATCACCGTCCGTAGATGAAAAAGCCGTGGAGTAAGTTCGCATTTCGGTTTCAGTCTTTGGTTTTCCGAATATCTAAAGCAAAAATAGGTCTGTAGCACGTAAGTGTTAAGATGTTACGGCTATGGTATTTCAGCTAACATCAAGTAAACTCCATACTTGTCTGTCCCCGTATCATATAAATTCTTTTATTCCTAAATTAACTGTAATTCAATGATATTGTATTAATTTTCTAAACTTAGGCTAAGAGGGTGACGTGGAAGGTTACCACAGACTATGTCATAACATAATCTGTGGTAACCTTCCATGTCACCCTATATGCGGGTATATAAAAATTTGTTAGAAAAAGTTTTTTTTTTCACCAAAATTAAAAATTCTTTATTGTTTCCATTTTTATACCTATATTTTATTTAAGATCTTCCATCGTACTTAGAGTTAACCACAATCAACTTTTGGTTATAATTAATTACGACGAAACAAAAACACAAAACAGTGAATGGATTACGAATGAATCACAATAAATAAGGCGAGCGCTAATTGCAACTGACAAAAAGATTACTCTTAAAGATAGATTACAAGTCGTTTCACTAATTGCTGAGAAAATTAATTCGATTTTCTAGCATAGCGACTCACGAGAATGGAAACACGAATGATTCTATAAGTACTTATTTCCGACTGATTTTATTGTACCTATGTAAATTTTGCAAGGACCAGATATTTCGGATGCCGTATACCAACTGTAATCAGAGTGTTTTTATTTAATGTGTAACTAGATTCTCGCGTAAACTTAATGAAAATTTCTTCCTATATAAACTTTAATTCCTACTTAGGTGTTTAAATCTCGCAGTACTTTCCAAGTTAGAGTAACGGTGACAAGACAGAACAAATTTGAAGTACTATTTATTTTGTGAAAATAAATATAAATACAAAGGTTAGGGATAAATACAAAGGGACCCATAATAATATTTTAATTGCACGTTAAGCGATCACATAAAAATATTTAGGAAATATAAACGAAAAAATTTTATATATATAACAATTATTTGGAATTATTGACAAATTATCACTTTATAAAATAATAAAATTGATATTCAAATTAAATAAATTTGACCTACTAATTTATACTATATATAAAGTAAAAGTTGGTTTGTTTGTTGATCGGCTAATCTCAGAATCTACTGTTAGAATTGATTTTTTTTTGTGATGGTTAGAGATTTATAAAGTGGCTATAGGCTATAAAAATCTCTTTAAAAAATTGTGACTATATGCAAGGAAGATATAGCGGGAAATATCAAAAAAAAATGGGAAAAATAATTCAGGAATATAGGTTTCCGAGGCATACGCGGCAAAAACGGTTCATATACCTACTAAAAAAATGGTCCTCGACTTTAGGTATAAGTCTACCGTTTAAGATTAACTTGCAAGAACGACGGGAAGGGACGCGACTGACGTCGTGGGTGTAGTAAAGTTATAAAGATAAAGGGGTTTGCAAAAACGAATTTGGATGCCCAAAATAAATATTCTTAGCGGACGACGCCTTTGCAACAGCTAGTAAAGAAATAAAATGCACAATTAATAAAATAAAATTGATATCCAAACTGTAAATCGGAAATGTGCGTATAAGTATATTTCGTTAAATCGTATCACAATTAAACCGTCAAAAACACGTTAACACTTGAAAAAAATAAAACAAATAATCATTATTACGAGTCACAGGCCTCCGGCCAAACAATGGTGGTTCGCGCCAAGATTGACATTTGACAGCTATTTAGGCGGGAACGCGTAGTGACAGCGCGTCAGCTCGTTAGCGACGCCATGATGCTTTTTACCTTTTTCAAACAATTTGTTTGTCTATTGTTAACGCGTTTTACATATTTGTTTCTGTCCGATGTTAATTTAAAAACGCCCATAGTGGTGGTGTTGAATTAAAGATGATTATCTTGTAGCATTCAACCAGTGGTGATAGAATTCACATGCTCATCAGTTAAAAGTATTTGTTTGTGTTGAATGAAACTATCTACACAACTGTCTTGCCGACCTGTCATTACTTACATTTAAGTATATATAAAAAAATAGTTACTAAATCGATTGGGTAGGTACCTACTATTAATAAGTTTCTATTTCATTTTCCAGATAACGCCTTTTTTTATTTTTCGACTCGCCGAGGATTTCGGTTTAAAAAAATATTTTTCTATAAGAATAAACTTCAAATAATATGCTTCGGGTGGTCGAGAACAACTGTATCGATATATTATTCTACCGATATAAAAATATAATTAAGTCCGGGATTCGAACCCAGGCCGTCACGTGCATAACGCAATACTAGGCAACACGATTAACCATTTAGCTGTAGAGGCGGTTCTACTAATAGATCTTTCCTATTTATAGTCCAAACAACTGTATTAACTCCAGTATTACTTACATTTAATTGTTTAGCTATACCACATTTTTTCTAGATAATAGATAGCGTAGTAACATTTTATTGCTCCATTATACAGATGTATTCAATTTTGAGGCAGGTGTGAAAATGTTTCTTTATATAATAAAAAAAAGCACTTGACATTTGAAAGGATAATAACATTGAGTTACGGGGTGGTTGGGTGTTTAATAAGTTTTTGCTAATTGTAAAACATTTTAACGACTAAGTTGGTTTTGGAAGGTTAAGAATTTAAATGCTTAACCTTCCAAGATAGTGGTTAGGTATTAGTTTAAGTAAAACACTTTAAGTCACAGTCTCCCCTGACCACGGCTGCAAAGCATCCGCAACTCGGGCGAAGTTAAAAATCATTTTCAAATAAGTTTAACTAATAGATTGCGTTTTAAACCGTTAAAGTGTTTTATTTAAATGTGTACTACTCGCGTAAACTATAGACAGTATTCAGGTATTAGTTATCGACCAGGCGGGGGCGTCGGTAAAGATTCGATTCCAAGTAAAAAAAAGGTATTAGTTATTAGTATTGTATCTATTGTTCCAGAAGTATACCTATAGTTAACTGCTGTAGATTAAATTATGAATTCATGTTTTACATGAGGAATATTTTTCTATACAGGAAGACAAGCGTAGGGATCACGTGATGGAAGGTGATATACGCCAGCCGTATAACATCTACTAGATGCGTTGTCGATCTTTTGGCTTTGTATATTCGGAAATACATATACTCAAACTGTTGTGGGAGTCCACTTCACGGCTTCACGTCTATGACGTCATTAAATATCCAGAAGAAGTCCGAAATGATTCAGAAAAATTTGATTTATTAAAAAATCTTGTTAAGTCCGGCATCGAACCCACAGCCTGTTTTATTAGCCACAAATTGCTACCATAAAAAATGTCAATTATAATAAAAAATAAGTTAATAATTCCCATTGATAAATTTAGTAAAATTTTAAGTTAGATCTTACACTACTCACTTTTGTTTTATAACACGAAGAACTAAATAATACCTAGGCGTTACGATTTTGTGATTTTTAAGAAGAAAATTTCAATAATAAATCTCGTTTCAATTCGTTTTAAATAGTTTAATTGCAAGAGTTTTTGTGAGACTTTGTTACGAACATGGCAACTTTAATAGTAACGGTTAATAACGAAAAAATTAACTGATCGCCTTAAATAGTGGTATAACTAAGTTTGTAAATAAGGATAAACAAACATATTTGCATTTATACTTTAATTATATTTATCGCGAGGCCAACGCACGAGAACGACATTTAAATAGTCCACTATGAATTATTCAATAAAAAAAATCTTAATGTTTTAATTACGAGAACGGGTTCCATTGCACGAAATAATAAAACAACTTAATTTAATGTCAATTTGTGAAAAGTATCCGTTCCCATCATGGCGGCCTGTCTATCAATATAATAATACTGTCAAAGTTTAATTGAATTCTGTTAAACCTATTGATACATTATGAAAACGAAAGAGCCATAGCAATTTACATCTGAATTACAAATCTCTACCGAGCCCACTAAGCAATCAAAATCAATTGTATCTCCATCCCTTTTCCGCTTCAGAATTCTGCGTATGATGAACGGGGATGGAAAACCGATTGTACTAAACACCGCCCACCAGGAAAATGGGAAGGGTGAAATATTTGTTCATGGGCGTGTCTGTTTAGGCACGAACTCCTCAGTCGCTCCGACGCCGTCGCCGCGAGCGCATCGTTCGATCTTGACGTTTCAATCTGACATTCGAAATTCAAAGTGACATGAGACAGTGATGGCGTTCGAAGACCGATGCAGCCCGAACCAAGCGAACAGCCCCGGCCCGGTCAACGGCAGGGTGCCGGGATCCTACCAGAACCAATACACCTGCACGACCATAGACAGATACGATAGATCGATAAAGACTTCCAACTCGCCACCGCCGAGTCCTAACAACCAGATGGATTACTACTATCGACCAGAAACGCCAGACGTGAAGCCGATCATTGCAGAACGATTCGACCCAGACAAAACGCAACCCACGGCGATCCCCTTCTCTATCTCCAACATCCTACATCCAGAGTTTGGTTTGAACGCGATCCGGAAGACGAACAAAATCGAAGGTCCCAAACCGGCTGGACCGAACCATTCCATTCTGTACAAACCGTACGAACGGTACCCAAAACACGATGATTTCGGTCTGCCGCCCTTGGGTGGGTTGCGTCAAACTGTGTCAAGTATCGGGGAACAGATTAAGGAGAGAGAACCAAAGAGTTTGGAACAAAGGAGGCCGGATTCGGCGAGTTCTATTGTTTCTTCCACGTCTAGCGGAGCATCTACCCAAAGCACAGATACGAATAGCCAATCTGGAAGCTCTACTTTATGGCCGGCGTGGGTCTACTGCACCAGATATAGTGATAGGCCGAGTTCTGGTGAGTACTTGTCAAGATTGTATTCACCTATTCAAACCTGCGCAATGTTATTGCGTTCATTTCATTAATTTAATTGTTTATTAGATAGTGGACCATAGACCTAAGAATACAATATACTGTTGCTTTTAATTATTATCTATCGCAATATATTATATAATACGCAATATACTCTTATTTAATCTATGTTTACGTTTAAAAAATTTTTTCGATTAATGAAGTCAAAGAATTACAAGAGTCGCCAATAACTCAATTTATGTTTTATATATTTTTGCGTAAATCCTATTGATTATTTATGTCTAGGTATTTTAATTGTATTGAGCGTTTAAATAACTCTAATTTTACGTTATTTGTGCTAAATAACATATAACAGGGCAAAAGAAACAGTTTTTATCGTCATATGCCTAATTAAAAATACCTTTATCGCCAATGTTTAATTTGTTAGGAATTTACTGTTCGTCCGTTAACTGTTCGCCTTTTAATTGTTGCCTGGACTTAATTATGCTCTTTTTACCTTGTTCAGTGAATATACAGCCTATGATAAAGACACATTTTATCCGGTCACTCGATATTAAAACATCAAGACGTTTGTCAACGTTCGAGACGATTATAATTGCTAATTTCGAAAACTACACCGTTGTGTCTTCAAGTGAATTAATTTGAGAACGAAAATAGGAAGTTCTGCATTAAGAGGGATACAGGGTGTGCAATTACAACACTAGGAGTATAGTGCACGGTAAATATATTGCATAACCGGCTTTAGACAGAGACAATTTGCCCTTTTGTCCTTGGGTCTTGTAAGTGAACAAAAATAAACAATATATCTAATAATTAATAAAACATGATATTACCGTGTTTATTCGGAAGTAGGTATGTTTATCAATGTGCCTTTGTCTGACTCAAAGTTTAAATAACACCCCGTAGATTCAGTACTTATCGCGTTTTTGTGACTCTGTATATACATCTGTCAATGCTTAGATAAATATTAATATATGTAAATAAAATGTCAATATTTATCGATGAATTGTATGTTAATTTTATAATATGCTAAGAACATTAATAATACATGGTGTTTATTGTAAACACTTTAGGGATATTTTATTTTTCGTGTATTTAAATACGTGACCACGCTACAAGATAATATAAAAGAACAGAATTATATAATTGTAAGGAAACCGGCATCGTCTTAAACTGTGGTAGCTAAATGGATAGGTTTTTGGTGGCTCTCTGAAAAACCACATTCCAGATTAGTAAAGGCTGGTATGGATAATAAAAACGCTATTTTTGGATTAATACAATCGTGATTTCCATAAAAACAGGTGTCTTATCCTACACGCCATAGAGTCAAAACATTTTCAAAAGATACCATAAGTAGACAAAAATATCGATACATTTTAAATACGCTTTCTTTAAAAACAAAACCCGTTCGTAGTATAAAAACTCGAGTGCCAGGGCCCTTTTGACACTCCGAGATAAGGCTACGATGACAGCTGTCATAGTGACACGTTTTTGAACTTGGAAGCTCCGTTGCGTTGTGTTGACTTCCGGTTGATTTATTGATTTTCGTATTTTTACGCTTCTTACTTATTAGTGCGAGTGCTTATAGGAACATGGCGTAAGTAGATTTAATCTTTAATAAGATTTTATCTTACAAGATAGAACTTATGTATTTATTAGTTAGGTTTCTTAAACGGTTATGTCGCATAACCATTATTATTCCTATATATCTTAATATTATAGTAATTTTAACTGAAATTAGAATTAATTAAAGTAAAAACTAGGCTGAGTAACTCGTTCACGTCTTGCCCAACTTGTTCTAATAAGTAGATACTTAAATTTTATAACTGACAATATGCATTGGCATTTTACAAATAGCTCCAATTAATTTTGTTATTCTAATAGCTAGACGAGACAACAAAATATTACACAACTTACAATTTAAAAGATAACTATCAACAACGTAATTAGGGTTGCCATTTTATCACGCGTTACGCCTTTTTCGCGCCTTTATGACAGCAGCCATCTTGTTACTAAAGATAATATTTATTAGACTTGTTTATGATAATTGAAATCGTGGTCTGTGTTTAAGCATTAGTGATATTTTTTATACTATGTAAACGTGAGTAAGTACTACCATAAAATCTAATATGATTGTTGAGCGAAGACAAAGATCAATTACTTAAAGACTTTTAACTCTTCAGCGTAGACCCAAAGTAAAAGTGAGTCACCAATATCGCAAATAACCAATTAAAAAATAAAGAATCAATTTGATCTGGCATTTTTCATTTAAAGCGGAACATTAAATTTCTTGTCGCGCTCATAAAATGCAATATTTATTAGAATTTCAAATTAAATCTCTCAATTACCTTATTGACAAACTTGTTTCTGTGTTGCCACGGCAAAAACGATCTTAATACAAATGAGGTAAGTTCGAAATCGAACGCGATGTAACGTAACGGTACCGCTATAAATGGTCAGAAAACAGGTGTTTAATGAAATAATTTAGGCCAATTATTTCCAGCAGTTATCAAGTTTTTCGCGCGTCCGCCATCTTGTTTTGCGTTATGGCTACGCCCTTTTAATGCACTCTCGAACATTAGTTATCTTATTATTCAAATGCGACATCAGTCCCAACGTAGCTGAGTGGACTCCTTTTCGGAGGCAACTATTTTATTTTTTATTATTTCATATGTAATTAGTTATTTTTTTATTTTATTTGTAATGATTTTTTTTTATTGTGTTTGTTAAATGTCTTGTTTTATATGTCTTCTATTCTTCTATTCTATTCTATAAATACCGTCTGTAGTTTACGCGAGTAGTACACATTAAAATAAAACACTTTAACGGTTTAAACGCGATAAATATTTGATAAACTTATTTGAAAATTATTTTAACTATGGCCCGACGTTTCGGATGCTTTGCAGCCGTTTCCCCGTGACCACGGCTAAGTTTAACTAATGTATATCGCGTTTTAAACCGTTAAAGGGTTTTATTTAAAAATCTTAGCATTTATTAAAAAATAAGAATGTCATTTATTGCTTTGATTAGGAAAATAGTTATTTAATATTATTGCGTAAATATAACTTTAACTAGCGATAAACTATGTATTAAAGATAATAACACCTATTAAACATGTTAATGGAATTGTATAATTTCTTAACTTAGGTATCCGGCCACCGGATGCGGCTGCCATATTCGTCATGATTCTATGCATTCAATTGACTATTTTTGAAATTAAAATGATTTATTCGTACTTGACACGCGATTTTATATACAACCTGAATGTTTCTTATGAAAATGTTTGTATTTATTAAATTAATGAACGTAAAATGTTGTAAAAAGGGGGGTCGTAAACTGTGTAGTCGCCGGTTCGATTCCGGTGGCTACACATTGCATAATGTGGACATTAATGTTGTATTCAATAGTGTGTTTTTTTGTTCACTTTTGTAATCAACAGCGTCTGCCATACAATACTAATGGGCATGAAAAACAATTGTAAATCTCTACACCTCTTTATATTGTACATCTATAATAACTGTAAGTAATAGAAAAGTACGCAGATTACCTTTTTGTGTAACTAGACCGGCACCATTGTAGTAGAAAATATACTTCGATATGGCGTTGTAACGGTTGCAATGTACGGCTAATAATCAACGCCGTGGGGTTCGATCCCCGCCGGGTCCAATATTTGGGACTTCGTCTGAATAATGGTTTTAGGAATATCGAAATTCCATCCGGATCACGAACCGGTTTTTTCGATAGAGAATAATAAATTTACTATTTATTATTCTCTATCGAAAAAATAACATCAAGGTAGGTACTGTAATCTCAACCAAAACAGGTGTGCATCTCGAATGAAGATCAAACTGTCTTATTCCGTTTTTGGTCTGTCTGTACTGTAAAATTCTTGGACAGTTCGCGGCAAAAGTGATCTTTGGTCTAATTATTTATTACATTTTGTTTATTCGATGATTACCTTATTTTTATTCGTTTCAATGTTTCAAAATTATACACTACTTTATACATAAAAAAAATAATTAATTAATTCAAATAGAATCAAGAAATGAAAAAACATGTTCTAGCTAACACATTTATTTTAATAAGTAGGTATTATCCTTATGTCATTGTTTATTAGAACTGTAAACAACATGATTTATGGGTTAATTTAAAAAAATACTAAGTTTTGGGGCAAAAATGTACTTCTAATTTAATTAATTGTGTAGTGTCTCAATTTTTAAACATTACCAGTAAGAATATGTTTTAATCAGACCTCAAAGATAATTGCACTACATAATTAACTTCTTAGTGTTTTTTTTAAACTTTTGCCTCAAACGATTTAAATTGATTTCTTATGAGCCTCTAATAAGCGACAATTAAATGTGATTTCGCTTCTCTCGCTGACTGTACCAAATCATTCTGAGTTTTTAATTGTCACTCCATTCTCGCTACCGACTGTCTGTCGCGCTTACACGGAAGCCTAGTGTTGTGCCTAAATCGTGAGATGTATCGATAGATTTTATTTATACATGTTAGATATTGTCATTATTAAATATCACCTTAAATAAAACAAACGGTTTAAAATACGAAATATATTGGTGTCCCCGTGGCCACGGCGGCTGCAAAACATCCGAAACGTCGGTTATTAAAAATAATTTTCAAATGTGTTTAACAAAAATATTCCGCGTTTTAAACCGTTAAAGTGTTTTATTTTAATGGGTACTTACTACTCACGTATACAGACTCATATTATATAGTAATACAAATTAATGGATAGGAATAGCGCAACCAAGTTAGAGCTAGCTTAGGCTTTGTTCCAGGAACGATAATATATTAACTTTCTTTTCAAATACATATAAAAATACATTTGATTTGCAACTGTTATCATTTTATTTTATCAGTAATTTATAATATCATATATGCTTAGTACCTGACGTGTAGAATGTTTTGCAGCCGTGATTCAGACTAATGTTAAGGTCGAATCCGCTACGCTAACGCCATCTGTT